GCCCCCAACTACGAGCTAGTGTGATTCTCGCCGCGTGATAGGCCTTGTACACTGCTGATACGGTGTTCTTGGTGAGCCCATTTTCGCGACGGGATTCTCGAAAAGCTCGTGCTAGAATCACGTTGAGCCTGCTAATCTTTTTGCGTTGATTTGGTGTCCAGGGCTTCTCGGAGATTTGAGGTAGGGCGACCCGAGGTCTCCAGTCATGATCGCTCAGGGGCAGATTTCTCAAGTCCCTTTGTAGCTCCTCTAGTACTTCTTTCGGCAAGTTGGAGCCTGCACTCTCAATTTCGGCGTCGATTGATTTCGTATATGCCTCCATCCTTTCCATCATCTTTTCCAAATCCCTAGCAGATTCGACGCTACTCACGTCGCCGCCAATCTCACGCAGCACCGCATGAAATGCATCCTTTTCTTCCTTTGACCCCAAACTGGCTTGTATATCTCGGAGGGCCTCCTTCAATTCGGAACCGTCTAATTTTCCTACGGAGTCGTCGAACGCCTCGCCGTTTGGTACCTCGCTTCGCTTATGCCCGTCTTGTTCGAAGAACCGTACCGAGAACCCTTGGCTGTCTTCGTCGTTTCTTGACTGTTGTTGCAAATCTTTGATGCCCTGGAGGTATTGCCCCAGCTCAGACTTGGTGGGACGTCTCGAAATCGAAGCATGATTTCGAGAAGGCTGCTTTGCCTTGGTCTTTGGGGGAGCTTGTGAGCTGTACGCAGCAACTCTCGGCGGCACTATCTTTTGCCGAATGGCAAGCAGGCACGTTCGACATATCGGGCCATTTCGGCTCTGTAAGTCGAAGAGCAATGGCCTGCCAGGCATGCTGTCGGCGAATCGTACCCAGTGATGGGTTGGAGGTGTGAGTCCTCGAAAGCCTTTCCAGAGCGTCTCCCCTAGATACCTTGACTATTTGTCGAGAATCAAAGCTTCGCACTATCGATAAGACTGACATCGGCCGACGGGGACGTGAACAGTCTATTTGCTAGTTAGCATCCACCACCTGCCTCTTTAGAAGGAAGTGGAGACGATATGGCAGAAAATTAATTTTTTTGTAAACCATCCATGCGTACAATGTACCTGGATATCTCGCGACCACGAGAAATCCCCGGCAAAGGTAGAGGACAGGAAAATCAGGGCACCATGTCGAACTCTCCAGAATTCCTGCGGTTCACCGGCCACCGATCATTCACCAAGCGTCTCACCCTCTCCACCCTAACCGGCCGACCAGTACACATATCCAAGATCCGAAGCACATCCCCCACCAACCCGGGTCTGGCACCACACGAGATATCTTTTCTCCGACTCCTCGAAGCCATTACCAATGGCAGTTCCATGCAAATCTCCTACACCGGTACAACCATAACCTATCACCCGGGCCTCATCACAGGCGTAATTGCCGGCCAAGGCGCCACCGACGGGGATGTCCTCGTGCACAAGATTCCCGACACCTGCACTCGCGGCATCACATACTTCCTCCTCCCATTATGCCTCCTGGCTCCCTTCTCAAAAGCCCACATGAATGTACGCTTCTCCGGTGCTGGCGTCATTACATCCGCCACGGAAACAGGCGACGTTTCCGTCGACACCTTCCGAACAGCCATCCTCCCTCTTTTTGCGCTCTTTGGCATCCCGCCCGTCCGGATCGAACTGCGAGTCCTGCAAAGATCATGCGCGGGACCCGGTGGCAAGGGAGGAGGCGGGTGCGTTGAGCTCCGGTTTGCGAGTCAAGTTAGGCTACCAAAGACGCTACACCTGAACCGCAGCCCGGGGCGAATAAAGAGAATACGTGGGGTGGCATACAGCACAGGAGTATCCGCCTCCAATAACGGGCGAATGATTCACTCTGCCCGTGAGGTTCTCAACCCTCTGGTGGCGGACATACACGTCGCGGCGCAATATGATCAGGCGCCGCTGGTACCTACCGGCGACAAGGCCGGTAGCAAACGTCGACTAGGAATTGGTTTTGGCCTGAGTCTTGTTGCCGAATCGAGTGCGGCCGGTATTCTCTACTCGGCTGACGTGGTGGTTCCTCCGTCGGGCGGCATGGTTCCAGAGGATATTGGCAAGAGGTGTGCGTATCAGCTACTGGAGGCGATTGCGGAAGGCGGTTGCGCCACCCAAATATCAGCGAGCGCCATGCTGATACTCATGGCGATGGGCTCAGAAGATGTTGGTCGGTTAAGAATAGGAAAGAAGGTTCTGGCGACGGAGGATATGGTTTCCCTGGCGCGGGACTTGAGGACATTTGGTGCCAGCAGTTGGGGCCTGAGAGACGTAGAGGATGACGAATCCGGGGATATTATTGTTTCAGTCAAGGGAACAGGTGTTGGTAATGTGGGCAGAAAGATAGCCTAGACGGTGTCAATGCCACGTTGGGTCTGGAGTTCAATGGCGGGAATTTGCAAAATAAAGTAAAATACTATTACTTCCAACCACCAGGCCACAAATCTATCTATTTGGTCGTATTGCAGCAGACTGGGCAATGACCGCCCTTCTTCTCGCCTGTAGGGTGGCCAATGTCGCCCCGTAACTTATTGAACGGAGCGAATGTGCCGCTGAACGCTCAAGATCGCCAGCAGCAGACAGGACTGATTGTACAATGTAATACTCGCCGACCACCGCATTCCCAGAGTTCATTATATCCGCCAGTTGCGCCCTGGATGAGCCCTCGCTCGTGCTCTCTCGCAGCAATGTTTCCGCCTCACCATTTTGTTCACTCGCCTCTCCCGCTTGGTGAAACCTGTTGCGCTCGCGCATCTCAACGCCTCCACCATCGTCTACACTAGCAGCAGCAGCAGCAGCAGTGCTATTTTGGGCATGCAGCAATACCCCTCGTTCCTCGGCATCCAAATCTTGTATTGAGCGCACCGCCGCCTCCAACTCCTCGGCGATTTCAGGCAATATCGGCCGAAACGTCCTCAGCATGACGCGGAGCTGCTCTCGTTGCGTATGCACCGTCAACATTAGGCACTGGATGGCAAGAATGGCAAAGTCGGCCAGCAAGTAGTATATTCTATACGTTGGGGGTCGTTGCCCGACGAAATCAATGACAAGCCCGCCGTGTTGGTAGCCGCGGTGGAAATCAGGTCCCCGTGGCAGCGATGTAAAGAGGTGCAGGAAGATGCATATGAAGTTTGGGATAACGACGAGAAGAACGTGGACCCTGCTGGCAGGCATGAGGAAGGGAAAGGCCTCGTCTTTCGGAGTAAGGTACATGTATTGGCCGATTGCGCGAAGGAGAAATCGAAACATGGAGCACCTGAGCAGTTAGCATCGCAGGCAGCCAAGAGAGAAGGGACGTTTCCGGGCATATACGGACTCCATATAATACAGGCCGCTTAGTTCGGCAAAAGCGAGTAAATCCAGCGTCTTGAGTAGATGTGTCACAAAGGACAGCTTCTTGGCAAGCCCGGGATTACGGTCCTTTTTGGCCTTCCTCCTGCGCCGGCGCCGCGAGCGAGACTGTGGCCCGCCGTCGTTACCATCTACATCGCCATCTGCATCTGCGTCTGCGTCTGCGTCTGCATCCGCATCCGCATCCGCATCCGCGGCCCCAGGCTCTGACTCGGCATCGGTTGCCGTGGGTATCGGTATCGTATCGTAGTCTTCTATCTGTCGCGATGACGGGTTTTCGGCAGCTGGGGCGGGCGAGCTTGACGTATCATCATGGTTCATAGTCGTCTCGTGTACGTCATCTACAGTGACTGAGCAGGCACTGCATTGAGGCAGCTCACGTTTAAACGGAGCAGGTCATGAGGCGAAGCTCTACAATGCGGATCTGAAGTGTGCGCTTGTGGTAGCGCTACTTCATGTACGCATGCGCGAGCGCTTGACGTTGGGAGAGAGGTGTTGACGAAGCCTTGTGCCAATAAGCTGGCGAAGCTTTCGAGGCTCTACGGATGAATAACAGGGCGCTGCACTGTCGTACGGGCCGTTGGATCAATACTAAATCCGGCCAGGCGTCTTGTTGCGGTGGGCGGTGGGCAGTGGCCAGTGGGACACGTGCGCTGGCGACAGACTAATGTCAATCCAAGGTACAGGTACTCCGTACCTAGGACCTAGAAGGCGCTGCGTGCTCCGTCGTACTCCTGACACGACAACGTCCTTGACCTAACCAAACCTGTCCATGTTTGCTTTCGGCCTCCACGAGCTGCCTTGACTGATAGACGCAGTAAATACATTACTACTCACTGGTAAAGCTCTCATCAGCGTCGTTGAATTACATCAAAGAGGCTGTCAACGCAGCGCCATAAACCACATCTAGCTGCCGAGGACTGGAGGATCCAAAAACCCACCTTGTGCTTCCTACTACTCCATGAATAAGTTTGTCATTGGTCAATGTCGGTGTCATTCGCATTAACGAGGTATTCTTAGTCGACGGTGCAATCGGTTGGTTGTGCTCCATCACTCGATACCGCTGCGCCAATGCAGCTTATCGCATTCCAATGTTTATTGGGAGGCATAAAGACTGACTGGAAGCACAAACAAATGCAAGTTGGCGGGGGATGTTTCAACAAAAATGCAGGCTGCGAGTTTCAAAAATACAGAAGCTACCTTGGACGGCAAGATCATTATTGGATTTCTGAATACTTGACTTGCCGTGGATGTCACTCTATTTTCAAGCATTCGTTGTCGCTGATACTCGTTGCAGTTAAAACCTCAGCAATGCCATGATAAGACACCAGTCGTATGGTTGGATTCAATGAAACAAGTTGCAGTCGATAGATATCATCGGTAACCAGTCCGCTGATGTTGCAAACCACTACTGGGCCTCTTCCCAGTCTCCAGAATCCGATCTGCAGCCACCTCAATACCGCTCGCTTTTCTTCCTTCCATCCTTTTCTTGTCTTTTTTGAACGCCAATGTGACCCATTCCAATATTTGAAGCGGCCCTACAGGGTGTCAATACCAGTCCACCGCTCCTCATAAAGGGTGATCTTTACTACTAACCTTGAGCAATCTGGCAGACGGAATAGTTTCAAGCCATAGCAGCCTCTTAGACCTTGGCAGCCTCCTCCTCGCGCTGCTCCATGAAGCTCAGGCCGGGGATATTCGCGTCATGGCGTCGTCCAAACTCCTGCTCCCTGTCCCTCTTGTCAATGCGCGTACCATGGTCAATGGGTGCAGGACCATCAAACGCCATGACGGCGACACTCAAGGCAGCAATAATGACAGCGACCTTCATATTGGGCGTATCGTTGTATTTATTCAAACTGCTGATTGAATTGTTAAAAAAAGGACTGGTGCGTCAAGAGAAGGCGCATTATACTCTGGGCGACGGGGCAACTAGGCTATCCTTATATCTCCATGGCGCGTCCAACAGACAAGACAAATGAAGCCGCCAACCGAGACATCATTCATTCCAGGGCGAGAGAAGCCGTAGCATCACAGCTGAGATGTCTGACCTGGCCGTCTGATAATCTATTTTAAGTGCAATCCACCCAATTGCGAACTGCGTGGGACCGGTAATTCTGGCTGGCCTGGGTTCATTGTTACCTCAATTAAGCAGGGCTGCATGAGACGACTCGAATTGTGTGAGACGACACAGGCTAGACTAGACTATCGAGGTTGTTTGGTGGCGTTGACGATGGGCGATGCACACTGCACTGCACCAGGAACCGTTCAGCCTCTTGTCAAAAAAAAGCTATCGACTCGGAGTGGATGACAACATTTATCTTCACTCCAGTCCGTGATTAGATTTGACGTTGATGCCCCCGGCTGTGTGGGTCATGCAAGTGCCGCCGTCACCAGGACTGTTGACTGTTTATCGAACACCCAAGTCACCACATGCATCAACCCCACAAAGTGCCCACTCCGGCGATTTGGTTTCAGTGAATGGGTCCATGTCCCAATGGCTACAATCGGGGTCCATCTCAACGGGACGTCATGCCATGACGCCCACGACCCCGATCATCAGGGAACATGGGACATGCCGCAGAGCAAAAGACGTCGAAACCATCGGCTCGATCTGTCTGGTGTTCCCAAATCATGCATCGAACCTCCAAGAGGGCCAATCGACGCCTTTGGTCGTCATTGCAGGTCCCCACAGGTCCCTGACCTTTCGTCGTGGCATAACTGACAAGACGCGGCCCATCAACATTGAACGCCTCACCCTCTGCCTGCAAGTGGGATATGGAATGCCATCGGACAACAACCATGACCGCAATCACCCAAGGCCAATGACGCTGACAAACTCGCCCAACCTGCCCGTGGAACGTCGCGATCCCAAGCACACCACTGCAACGGCCGATCGCACCAGGAGAAGGGAAGAAAGGAGGGGCCGTGAGGTGATGTGCAAAATCCCATTTGATGCTTTCCTGCTGTGGCTTCACCACCGACACAACGTCATTGGACCAGTCCGCCGCTTTGGAGTCGCACTTCCCCCTCCCTCTCACCAACAGCTCGACCTCTGTCTGACCTTTGACTTTGGACGAGACCTATTGTAGATTCCCGAAATGCCATCTGCTCCGCTTTTCGAAGCGTCCTGGTGCCTCCCCTCTTCCCTCGCCAGGAGCTTGCCCTTTGCCTGTCGATGCCATTGAATGTAGTATTAAAAGGGCAGCTTGACCCCTCATTGCCTTTAAATCATCCGTCTCTGCCGTGTCTCGCGTCTCGTGCTTCCCTACCAGCTTGAGCCCATTTACCATCAACCAAACAAGAACCTATTCTTCATTTCCCATCCACAACAGAGGTGAAATTCCTAGCCATCATGAGCGAACCAAACCAGACTTCTCCCACCACCACCAGCGGCAACGCCCCTCGCCGACGAGTAAGTCACCGTCTTGCATCACTCCTCGCAGCTCGCAGCTCGCCCGAGCTTTGCTTTTTCTGTTTCTTTTTCTTTTTCTGTCCCGCCATCAGTGTGCTAACACGCCCCAGAGCTCCGGCTGGATGCCTGCATTCGAATCCCTCCAGCAGCAGAAGAACAACCAAGATGCTGCTCGTCGCCAGAGCATGTCCGATCAGCAGGCCAAGGGCGGCATCTTTAGCCAGTTCTTCCACAAGTATGTCCATCGCCGCTTTTGTTATTCGCCCGCTGTCCCTTTTTGTGTGATGGCAACTCATTGACAAGATTTTCACAGTAACTTTGGCCGGGATACAAAGTAAAAAAACAAGAAAAAAACAAGAAAAGAAAAAACATTAGCTTTCATGCTTCGTCGTACCGCGATTGGCTGGGCGCAGTGCAAATGGCTTTGTTTTCTTGATGTATATTAGGCTGGGTGTCTGGGATGAGGCGACTTCTGCATGGTTCAGTGGTTGGGGGTTTATTGTATCGAGTTTGCGATTACCTATGAAATCGTGTAATTGAGTATTGCAACAAGTTGAGAGAGCCGTCAATGTCACGCGAGGTCTTGTGTGATTTTGCGACATCGTACGATCCATATGCAGCCACTGGTGTGACCCGTTGATTTGCATCGCCAAGTAGCGACACCGAGCGCAATTCAGACATGTATTGTATCTGTCTATATCAAACATGTCAATCAATGCAAAACACATAAACGCCATGACAAGGCTAATCGACGCTTTTTGAAAAATCATCGCCTATATTCCAGGCTACAATCCCGTGCAAACTCCACTAATGCGGTCATGTCTTGACCATGAAGATCTGCGCAAGTTCGTTAGCAAAACACAACCTGCCCGGACGCTGGCATCTTGCCGCAATAAGCACGCTACTAACCTGAGCCAAGGCCTTGGTGTCCAGCACCGCCTGCTTTTTCTGAGCAATAAACCGTGATCGAACAAAATTGCGACTCCCTCTCGGTGTTGAAGTTCCCGTCCCGCTTCCGGTAGGCGTTGAAGTGCCCGTAGTTACTGTAGACGTCGGAACAGATGCCGTAGCTGAGTTTGAATCACCCCCCTCCGCCTCCTCCGTCTTGCGTTTCTTCTTGTCCTTTTTGGATCTTTTGGAGTCGGTCGTCGACCCGTCTTCCGCCTCGGAACCCTGCTTTGACTTGGACTTGTCCTTCTTGGACCTCTTCTTTGATCGCCCTTCCTCATCGGCCGTGTTGTCCTCGGCCCCCGCAGCTGCAGCCAGCTTTTTAGCCCTCCGCTCCTCTTTTCTTCGCTTCTTCTCCTTCTTCTCGGCATCTGCTGCGTGCGCTGATTCCGGCTCGCCCTCTTCCAGATCCCCTGCCTTTCGCTTCTTGCTCTTCTTGTCCTTTTTGGATTTCTTGCCTCTTTCGTCGGCTTCGGAAGTGGGCGTCGACTCCTCCGACGTGGACTCTACTTTGATTTCATCGCCGACCAGCAATCCGCCCCGAATGAACCGCATGGGGCCCCATTTCGCCTCTACATACCGGTTCGTTTTGACCACTAGCCGCGCTTGCCTCTCGCCCTCGACAGACTCTTCTGACTTGCCATTCAACCGACTCAGAAGATCAGAAAAGACATCGAGGCCTGTTACTTCGTCCTCCTTTGCCTTGTTGTAGCCCAGGCCCTTCATGTCGTCTTTGAGAGCCACGCGAATGTATGATGCGTTGGCGGCAGTGTGCAGCTCAGAGTGAGCCGCATCTTGCGCTCCGAGGAATTGTCCGGGTTCCCATCCTTGGGCGCGTAGAATCTTCTGTCCGAACGTTTTGGTGTCTCGAGTCCATTTGGTGTTGTTGGGATCTTTGCTGATTCTTGACCGACTAATGCACCATTGAAAGTCAATTTTTTTTCTGCTTTTCTCAGGAGAGGACAAACAGAGTATAACGCAACATACCTCTGTTTTTCAGCGAGAAGACCCATTTTGACAGCTATTTGCTGCAACAGGCCAAGTCTCAATGTGCTGATTAGGATGCAGACCGGGGCGGCTAGAGAAAAAAAAAATACCAAGTTATGTCGTGAGCGGGCGGGAGGGCGCTCGATATCAGGGCCCTTATCGTGATTGGTGATTGGTCCGGCCACAACCGAATGGCCCCACAGTTGCTGCCAGCTGCAGGGTTGAGAGAGTGATAGAAAGCAGCAATGTCTTCAGCACCGAGAAGTTGATTAGTTCAGCACCCGTGTCACCTATTTTATTGAACGGCCAATGTCAAAAGGCAAACCATTTGTATACGATTGGAATTAAGATCCTCGGGCAGAATATGGCCGATAGTGCGCGTTGCTGTGCCAGATGGAAAAAGGGCCGCGAGAGATGCGCCAGACCAATAGCTCCGGTACCTGAACCACATCACATCACAATGAGCGGTTCATCACAACGCGATCACAATATCAAGCGTTCTAATATCATCAAAATTTCTGCTGGAATACATGTTTACTTACATCCACGACCTAGCTAGCGCCTGATTTAAAAAAAGAAAAAAAAAAAAGTCAAAAACCCATCGCCATTGCAAAGTTTTCAATCTGCTGTGCCAAGATGACAGAGACGCGACCCGCAAGATAAGTCAAAGGCTTGCTCCCCCATCGTATTAAAACAAAAGGCGCCGTCCCCGCCGTTTCTTTGGGTCCCAGACCTGCAATCTGTCGTGAAACCTATCGTTTTGGAGCCGCTTGTGGGATAAAAAAAAAAGGAAGATTTTTGGTAAAGCAAACACTCAGTAGTTGAGTTCACTCCCACCACCGCCAGAGACGTGATCTAGGTCTTCGTAGCTCTTTAAGCTACGGCCCTGCACGGCTTCGCGAGGACCGCCCGCCGCACCGCCAGCACCGTCTCCCCAGCGCGATCCGCCGGCACGGTTTCGGCCTCCATCAAACCTGTTGCCTCGACGGTCATATGGGCCCGTGCGATATTGCCCCCGGTTACCCATACCACCGCGACGGATTGGTCCGCCTCCTGAGCGCTCATCGCTCATTGGGTTCCAGCCGCCTGCTTGCATACCAGCAAACATGGGTGGAAAGTTGCCTCCAGCCATAGGGAATCCAGGCATACCCATCATGCTATTCATTGAAAAGTTTTGCAGATTGAAGCCCCGAGGAGTTCCGGTGGCGTTTTGCCCGTTTGCGGGCGGGAAGTGTCCGTTGGAGTTGGCATCCGTCCTAGAAGGCGCAATGTGTGCCGGGTCCATGACATAGGCATTGATGAGCTCAAACTGTCACAAAATCAGTATTCATTTTGAAATAGAGGAGGATGGACTGGATATGTAGTTGACAAACCTCTTGTTTCATGCTATCCAGGAAGTCGGCGTGCCTCTTCTCGACATGTTTCTTCCAAAAGTGCTCTTCTTTGAAAAGCTTGGTGCATTCTGGAGCTTTGCAGCGCCACTTGTGCTCGTCCTCTTGCTTTACGTACTTGGCCAGCTCTTCTTCCACTGCTTCATCAACTGATCGCCCGCCAAGTTTGCGAATGTCGACTGTTTGCGGCTCCAAGATTTGCATAATTTTGTCCTCAAACGTCTTGACCCAGTTGTATGCCCGGAGCAGTTGCTGCTCTGTCTTGTTTGAGGTGTTGCGAAACTTTTTATCGCCCTCTGCAGGCTCAGGATCGGCTTCTTCTACATCAGCCGTCTTCTTTTTCTCAGGGAACGGCTCGCCATTGGCGCTTGCACGAGCTACAGATCGCGCAGATGAAGATAAGGTGCTTCTGGGTCGGCGAAGATGGCCCCCTGGACATTTTCGGGTAAGCTCGTGGACGGAATCGCTCTCAAAGACACAGAAGAAACAAAAGTTGAACACGCGACGCAGATACTCAATCAAGAGATCCAGTTGCTTCTTCTTGATGAGCATGTCCTCATCATCGGCCTCGTCGTCAATGGCGCCATCTTCCTCTTCCTCTTCCTCCTCACCCACCATGCCATCTTCATCATCCATTGCTTCGTCTAGAACGATTTCCCGTTGCTTCTTCACTTTCTTGGTAGGCGTAGGCGGAACAGCTGGTTGAAGCCGGCCGGTATTGCGCAGGTCGTCAACCTTTTCCTCTACCTTGAGAATGGCCTGGAAGTCTGAGCCAAAGTCTTCTTCAAATTTGTTGACCAGCCGTTGGACTAGGAGCAGATCTCGCTCAATGCGTTCGGGAGCGGAAAAGAGATCCCACAATGCCTTTTTCCTTGGATTATTGGGAGGGTTGTGAACGCCGACATGGCATACAAAGTCGCCTCGCACTTCATCCTTGACAGTCTTGCCATTGACTGCCTCGAGTGCCTTTTCCGCGGTTGACACTGGCTGTGGAGTTGTTGTATCCACTTCGCCGTCGTCGTCCTTTGGATCCATCCGATCTGTTGGGAGGGATGTCTCAGAGGATGGGTGAAGCATCACCCAACCAATACGGTGATATCTCTTGCTAGGATTGGGATCAGAGAGTGACAACCATTTAAAGCCGCCCTCTTCCTCCCCGAGGTTTTCCTTGCAAAAAGACTCTAAATTTTGTCGACTGACATGAGGTGCAATGGTCTTGATCAGTAGAGTAGGCTGGAACTGGTTCTCGTCGCGGATATCAGCCCCGTTCGCCGGAAGGAGATCTCCGACGCCCAGAATCTCGTTGCTCGCGGTGGCTTCGCCCTCCTCCTTCTCAACAACACCGCCAGATCCGTTGCTCTCAGCCTTGGGCAACCCTTCCAACGAAAACTCATCAAAGGTCCCTGTCTCAAGATCCTGCTCCCATTGGCTGTAGGCGCCGCGCCGAATTTCGTTAAGCTTATTGCGAAGCTCGTCGCGAATCTCAGGCACATATCTCTCTTTGAACCATTGCTCCTTTTTGTGTTCCGAAACAAATGAACGCGCCATCTTTGCTTGCAGCTCTTCCTTGTAGGCGTCGTATGCAGCTTGAATTTTGGCCTTTTCCTTTTCGCGCTCTTCCTGCGACTCGCGAGCACCACGTGGTCTCTCTGGTTCTCGTCTGCGACCAGTCCGGGCCCGTTCCTTGTCATCCTTGATTTTTTCATTCATTCTCCACCATTCTCCAAAATACGAGAATCCCACCTGGTAGGGTAGGCGAGCTGGATCGGCGAGAGGATTGACCGTCACACCGGGGGATGCAGTTTCTTGCCCGGGTACATAGCGGTCGATGTTTGCCGGTGGTGAACTTATTCGTCGACGATCGTCTCTGTCTCTATCTCTGTCTTCTCGGCGAGACCGTGGCTCGTACCGGTCTACTCCAGGAGATCGCGATCGTCTGCGATCTCTTCGATCATTGCCTGTGATTGGAACAAAGTTAGTTGGTGCCGAATCTTTAAATAGAAAACGACGGACAAAGATTGCCAAACAGGCAATCACAGCCATCTATGCAAACAATCAATCTTACCCGGAGATCGTCCGCGATAAAATGTGTCAGATCGCTCGTCCCGAGTTCTCGATTCATCTCGGCCCCAAGTCCGATCTGATGGTGATCTAGCCGAAGAGTCTCTGTACGTGCTGTAAGAATCCATTGCTACCAACAATGCTGCCGCCGAGTAAGCCGGACGTCGGCTTTTGACCTAGAAATCTGGCTTTGCCTCGGTTCATCCGACGATATAACGTATCGGAGAATGGTCGTTGAGGACACGATTGAAACGTTTGCCTGCGGTTGTGGCGACACGGCGACGGTTAGAGAATACATCTTAACAATAGGTGCAAAGAACAATAATTTAAGAGGCTAAGACACGAGAGGGAATGCCAAAGAAGGCCAAAGGAAAGATAGTAGCTAAGATCCCTCGCAGCACAGAGTGGCAGGAGGACAAAAAGCGAAGAGAAAGCGACCAATGGTCAGGGAGGATGAATCGGGTTTGGGTGGTTGGTCGACGACGATGGGGTGGATTGGCAATTGAAGCGACGAGGAAATAGGGGATCAATAAACGCAACCAAGAAGGGGGGATAACGAACTGAATTCAATGAGCACGGAAATCTGAAGCCGGCGATGCCGCGCTGATGCTTGCTTGCTGAATCGCTCTTTGGGGACGAACAGCAGCTTTGCACAGTGAAGGAGGTTGGAAGAGGCTCAATCGGAGAAGCGTGGGTGGAGCTCAAGTGCTGTCAACTCTTTCTCACCTCCCAGTCGGCTCAAGTCGCGCCTTCCTGTTGGCGACGTTGACGCCTCGGCCACCTGCAGCTCAACGACGGATGCAGAATGGTGCGAGAGTCCTAGAAATGCACTGTATGGACAGGGGTAAGGATAGCGGGGACTCACAGTCAATTGACAGTATGCAATAGCCATCCTCATTCCAGCCAATGAGAGCATTCTTTTCTTGGGTGAGGGAGGTGGCGACCTCCGCAACGGCGGCGGCGCCCGACAATGCTCGCTCTTCTGTGTGGGGAAACGGTCCAAGATAAAAGGGAACAGCTCAACTTCCCCAGATCCTGTATTTCTTCAGCATATCCGGAATGTACACGATATTCGGATCGACCATGCCTCTAAGGTGTTTAGCCAATTCTGTCTCATGTAGGCTACTGGCTTTGGGGTCATGAGACTTCGACACGTCCAAACTTTCAGTATACGACCAACCACACTCAACCGTCATCTTTTTAAACGAAGACTGCTGCTGGTTGTTTGATCCAAGCCATATCGACTCTTCTTGTATTGCTGCCTTCGGAACCTACCATTTTCGCGTGGAAATGACGGGCTTGCCTACTGTCACCAGTGGTTACAATGTGGCGGTGGAGGAATTCCGTGAGCAGGAGTACCCCATGCTAAAAGGTAAACACTTATACGCGATTACATTCATCAGTGGGCATTCTTCTTACGATTGTGCAGACTCTGTCTATCTGGATCACGCGGGATCTACGTTGTGTGCCAAATCTTCAATGGATGCTTTTGCACACGAGATGACTTCAACTCTCTATGGCAACCCTCACTCTGGCTCATGGCCATCGCAGCTTTCCACATTACGTATAGACGACATTCGATTACGATTACTACGTTTCTTCAATGCGGATGCGTCCGAGTACGACTTGGTCTTTGTTTCAAATGCCACAGCAGGTGTCAAACTCGTGGTGGAAGCCATGAGAGCGCTCCCGGAGGGCTACTCATACGCTTATCATCAAGCATGTCACACCAGCTTAGTAGGCGCCAGGGAAGACGCAAGACTGAGCATTTGCGTTGATGATGTTGACATGGGTTCATGGCTGCGGGGCGAAGATCCATTCCCGTCCACTGGCCCATCTTCAGCAACTCTCTTTGCCTTTTCTGCCCAATCTCATATGGACGGGCGACGGTATCCCCTGTCGTGGCCGAGAGAACTTAAAGAGAATTTGGATGGCAAATCAACACCTTTATTTACCCTCCTTGATGCAGCTTCGTTTTGTGCTACATCTCAACTAGACCTCAGCTCGCCTGATTTCGCTGCAGACTTTGTAGTTCTCAGCCTGTACAAAATATTCGGATTTCCCGATTTGGGAGCACTAATAGTTCGACGTTCCGCAGAATGTATTTTTGACCGGCGGCGTTATTTCGGCGGCGGCACAGTTGATGTGGTCACTTGCAAGAAGGAGGAGTGGCATGCGAGGAAAACCCAGTTTCTTCACGAACGCCTGGAAGACGGCACACTGCCATTCCACAATATCATAGCCCTGGACTCAGCAATGACAATGCACTCCAAGTTATTCGGCTCCATGGATCAAGTCGGCGCACACACTTGTTCCCTGTCTCTGCAACTATTCGATGGGCTGGAAAGCTTGCGACATGGCAACGCTGTACCAGTGTGCGTCATGTACACCCAGCGTCCAGATCCTGCCGACTTACTAGGAACGGGCCCAGTAGTTTCGTTCAACCTAAGGAACAGCGCGGGCGGTTGGGTTAGCTTGGCAGAAGTCGAAAAACTGGCCATTCTTCATAAGATTCATATTCGAACGGGCGGTCTATGCAGCCCGGGAAACATAGCCGCTGCTTTGGATCTAGAACCATGGGAGATGAAGCGAAATCTATCTGCAGGAATCAGATGTGGTGCTGATAGCGAGCTTATGAGCGGCAAGCCTACTGGTGTTATTCGAGCAAGTGTGGGCGCCATGAGCACCAACTCTGACATTGAACGATTCCTCGAATTTGTAAAGGAGTTCTTTGTTGAAGAGCATCCTACGCTCGTATCACCCAGTGAGAAGACCGAGAAAAAACTCCAAGAGCCACCCAATTTTCGAGTTAAATCGATCACGGTCTTCCCAATCAAAAGCTGCGGTGGCTATGTTGTACCGCCAGGTGTGCAATGGGATGTGAAACCTGAAGGACTAGCGTGGGATCGTGAATGGTGTCTAGTTCACCCAGGCTCAGGCCAAGCACTCAGTCAGAAACGCTACCCCAGGATGGCCCTCTTCCGCCCAACACTGGATTTCGAAAAGGGTTCCTTGCGGGTGACATATCACGGAACAGGTAGCGACGTGGGCCTACCAGAGGTTCAGATCCCATTATCCGCGAACCCATCCTTGTTTGGCGGGGAATCTGAACGAGTGCCCTCCCAAGTTTGTGGAGAGGAAATTTCTGCTCAAGCATATATTTCGCCCGAAATCAACGACTTCTTCTCCCAATGCCTAGGCGTTCCGTGTGTGCTGGCAAGGTTCCCTGCTGGCGGTCGTGGCCTCACGAGCCGTACCGTCAAGGCACGCATCCAGAAACACCAACATACTAAACTGCTGTGCACGCTACCTGGCTCGTTTCCTGATATTCCGTCACCCCCAGACTCCGACACAGAACAGCCTACTGAGGGCAAAATACTACTAGCCAATGAGAGCCCGATTCTGCTAGTAAACAGCAGTAGCGTGGATGCCCTGAACGACAATATTGTTAAGAGAGGTGGCACGGGAGTCCCAGATGATTCCTTCAGAGCAAATATAGTCATTGAAGCGGACCAAGGGAGCAGGCACACTGCCTATTCGGAGGATACCTGGAGCAAGATCCGCATCGGGAACCAAGAATTCAAGCTGCTCGGCGCCTGTCGACGATGTCAAATGGTCTGTGTTGACCAAACATCCGGTGTCAGAAGGCAGGAACCGTTTTCAACGCTGGCAAAGACCAGGAGGATTGATGGAAAGGTGTATTTTGGAGTGCACATGAAACATGAGCCTAGGCCTAGAGATGTGCGCTTGGTGAACCAGGCACCTACAATTCAGGTCGGAGAGGCTGTTACTGTTGACGGATGGATACCATGATTACAACGACTGACACCAACGACGAACTTTGTATAATTATAAATGTATGCAACAATGTCTCCTGGCCATCATCTTGCACGGCATGTATAAATTATTATGGGTGGGGGAATCATTTGCCAGCGTAGTAATAGAGGTGCATGGAAAATGAAGGGGTCTCGAGCTTTCGCCGTCTTGTGATCTTGTATTTAATGTACAAATATTACGATGTCGATTTCAACACCTGCAGACGCAACGTGGTTAACTCGTGTCAGTCAGCACTATGCGAACACTTACGAGAATGATTCCAAGTGAAACCAAACCTCAGACGCCCCAGCGTGTCCACTCAGGATACGTTGCTGTTGTGCTGCCGCCTCACTTGCAACGTCGTACACCATTCCGGCTGGTCCACAGACTGCAATGCCAACAGTGCCAACAGACTGCTGGAGTGACGCCTCCCTAACAGTGGCTCCTGTGTCTGGGCGTCCACGGAAGGCCTTGATGCCAAAGGGGGAGGTAGTTGAGTCGGCAGATGACTGTACCCTTGGCTCCTCTTTGCCCTTCTCCTCATCACTACCAGAAGACGTGGTTCTTGATACTGGAATTCCCACGGCCGTATCATACGTTTCATAGAGAAGTATACTTACTCCGGGAAACTCGGTTGTTCCAGAACCGCGCTGTCGCTCTGCAACACGCCGCAACTCCTCGGTATACCATATTCGCATTTCCACATCTTTAGTGGCCAAGACGACCTTTAATTCACTTGTAGAGTTGGAATCACGCCGACTCAGCCAATCCTCAATAAGCGGGAAAGTAAATGAAATCCCAGAGCCGCCTGCGATGAGTATCGTGCGGTCAAATCCCTTGTACCAGCGCCCAGGCAAACCTCCATATGGACCCTCCAATAGGACTCTGAGGCTAACATCTTCCTGTTTCTGAGCCATTGGTCAAACCTCCCAGTGGCTTAAGATAAAAAAACCATCTCGTTGTGCTGAGTACCCTTTAAAGGAGCTGAACATATGGTAACGGGTGCGCTGTGACGGAGTGAAGACCGCCTGTCAGAAAACGGAGATACGCATGCTGGCCTGGCTTCCACTTGGAATTTGTAGGGACAGTGATGCGCAACGATTGGGGAGACATCACACGGAGGATGGCAGCGCGTCCAATGCCATGCTTTACAGTCCTGGCCAGAGCGTAGAACAGACTACTCAAATAGACGACTCCAGCAGCAATGAAGTAGTCCCAAGATGTCAGGCGGAAACTACAGTGGAGGAAAAAGAAAACCAAGAAGACGGCTGCAAAGAAGTAGTGCGTCGACTTGAAGAATTCGTACCACTTATTTCTGTTAGGAATTTGTCAGCGCGGGCAACTGTTGCAGTGCTAACCGATGACATACGTACCGAATCCACGAGACGGACATGAATGTTAGCCAGGCTTGGGCGATGATGGCAACCACGCCGGTCAGCCATACGCCTCCTGTGTGAAAGGCGGCGGTCAAATCGCCTTTGTCACGGTGGTAGACGATGAAAGGAAATGTGTGGATGAGGGCCAGTACCAGCATCGCCCAGCTAACCCAACTATGCCATGTGTTTAGTCTCTCGGTTGATATACCGGTCAATGCAGTAACCATGTTGGCTTTGGCCCCGAAGGCGAGTATAAACGGCATGCAAGCCAAAGCCATCCACCCAGTCCGCGTAGCGATAGGAGGCGAGTTTCCATAGCGAGCGTCAGTTGGCCAGTAGTACGGCTGGGGTCCCAAGGTCAGCGCTGAGAAAAAGACGACGCCGATTGCCGCGAGGAGAAGGACTCCGAGAGACTGGGAGTACCAACTACCAATTCGCCAACTCTTGTAAGATAGGAAGCGAACAGCCGACACGCAGCAGCGCCAGGATTTTCTTTGGGTCATCATGGTGGCCGGAACAAAGTCCGAGGCGAATCTACCAACGGTAAATACTGCTATGGCAGATACGAAAAGATATACCACGGGGAGGCAGTAAACCAGATCCGCCTCGTACCTGAGATATGGTCAGTATGTAAAGGTCTGGGAGGAGAAGGCAAGGTGATGTCAATTAGCCTACTTACCAGAATACCCAGTAGCTGTTTTTTAGGACACATTGATCCGGCTTCAGAGTACATGTTCCCGGATTTCGAGAGGAGTGAAACTGTATTGGATCATTCAGTATTGGCAGAAATGGTGTTGAGGACGTGCCCGAGGAGGCCATGCGCGGGAAAGCCAGGCCAACAGAAGTCATCTCAGAAGAAGAAGAAGCCATATCGGGATGTGTCGTCATGGTGCGTCCCAATTCAATCAACTGTATAAAACTTGAGCCTTGAACACGATGGTTTTTGCTAGGCAGAAGGATGTAGGAGAAAGAATGGCAATGATACCGGAGACGGCGGCAGACGAGCGGAACAAAGTGAAGGCAAAGCCGGTACAAATAACCCGCCAGGCTCTCATAGAAAATAAAGAAAACAGATGGTGACGTTACTTTTGCAATTAAATATAGGCAGCATATAGCACCGAATGTGAATGCATCATGGTCCCCTTTGGCATGACACAGTTATGCACGGCGTAGTACCAAGTTTGATACATAATCATATCGTGTCATGGCACCGTTGGCGCCATACCTTGTAAGTCCATGCAGATGGCGAGGCAGTGATCAAAACATCCGAAACGTTCTCTACACGAACTCACTTTTCTCATGGCCAGTCATGGAAGGTGATGCCGTCCAGGGGCCCCAAAATATGCGCATATTTGAGCATCTTCCATTACCTATGCTTGGTTTGAGATGGCACGGCCGAGAACCTGCCAGACACACGGGGACCATAGGGGCCTGGGTTGCAACACTGCCCAGGTTAAAAATTGAATGTATTGGACGACATTTTAATGTGACATGGCTGCGTTCTGCTGGGAGCCAGCTGGAGTCGAAGATCTGGGCTTGCTGAAGATGACGCAGTTGCGCAAGTTTGTCCTTGCGCTGAAACACTCGAACAAAAGCGAAACAAGCTGCATTTGTGTTTGCTGAACGGGAAAATGAGTAGATTGCCCAAGCCCAACGAAGAATTCATGGAGATCAAAGGGCTACCCGGATTGCTGCTCATGGCTGCTGTGTGGCGGCGTTCCACTCGCGAAGGATGATTTCATTATGTTGAGATCGAAATGAGTAACAAACCAGTCTAAGTTGGGCTTCCGCCGGGTGGCGCCTGCCCGCCGAGATGGTGCATGACACCTTCCATATTTTGTATCAACTTATGCCAACTTTCTCCATGCCATTCAATTTTGCGTTTTGATTTCATCTCCTTGCAATGCAGTCCCAAGGCTCTCTGCGCGGGAAATTGGCGCATTCAATAAGAATAGCCACACAGCCGCGTTGTCAACATTTCTGTAAGTCCCTGGATGTTGCGATACAAGGTTATGCCTCCCCCAAAAGCAACTCATCACTGGCGGACCGTGAAACAACATGAGGAGCAGCCCAAACAGGCCGTGATTGCAAGCTTGTTTCCCGTCCATCTCCGTTACAATTGCAAAGATGGAGATGCATGCTCAGATGGGTCATTCGCGAGCGTGTTGTCACTACCCCCCACGGAGACCATGTAAGTCAAGGTCGGGAACCGCGTGGGGAATGGCTACGCTGCCTTGTGTGGTACACGAGCAACTGACGACAAAAGATAGAGCTAAGGAGCCGTACGGAGTACGATAACCGTATCTCAAGACGGTTATTTCAATATACACGTGGTTGAACGAGGTCTCCTACAAGCAACTTGGTACAAGGAGATGTACCATCATGGTCCTGGAGTATTCGACATTCTCCGTGGAAGAAGAAGGCAAAAATTGCACTATTCAGCAATCACAGAACACACTGGCGGTGTTTGCAGCTAGCTCAACACACTACGTTACTTTATCCGCAAGGGAAGGCGACTTCCCAATCGTAGTTCGATTTGACAATTTCCGTGACATAGAATGCAAGTGAGAAAGAAAACTGGTAACCTAGCAGTCTATTTGGGTGCATTCCCCCCACTGAATTTTTCACCTAGCAAGATAGGGTTACAACTTTACTACTAAACCGGGAGAAGCAGGATTCACTGACAAAGAGAGAGCAGCTTCCGCTCAGCTTATAATCGAAGTTCTTGGGTGTTAGTATGGACGTCTAAACTTGACCACCTATTAGGTATACATGACAGACTGCCCGGATGGGTATCCAGTAGTCAGCCACGGCAATGTCAGATAGCTGCCAAGTGAGTCGAGAGGCAGGAGGAAGGTTATCAACATGGGCCTGGCCTTGTTTGGGTGGGTGGCATGGCTCGCTTGCCGGGCTGTGGTGCAAGGGCGCGAACATTGCGTCGTTATGTGGCACAAATTCGTCATGGAAGGTAATTAGCTTGCAAAAAAAAAAAAAAAATCAGTGATTTGACTCCTGTTGAGTCTATAGGGATTCTCTCAAAACGCCATTGTTTTATTCGACATAAACTGGTCACTCCGATTACATACACCGCCAGCAGTGATCACAGCCGCAAACTTCTATAGCAAATAATCCCAACCCCATGGTATCAGCACACAGATATAACATAGCGACCCCCAAGCTAGCCTCAGGACTAATCCTCGCGGCAAGAACCGTCGCCTCCTCTTTTGCTTAGCCTCAAGGATTGAGCTACGCCAGTGTGGGAGTTGGAACAATGTCCTAGAGACTGTTAGATCATATGTCATTCAGTGTATGTGACTGCTGTGACGTACCCTGCGGCCAAGAGCCTGAAGTTGCTCATCATCGGGAGATCGTTATGCCATGGGTTTCTTGGCTTTGGAGACCTGCATCTTGCCCTTGTTATTGTTGTTGTCATTGTTCTTGTTGCTGTTGTTATTATTGTTATTGTTGTTATTATTATTGCCGTTATTATTGCTGTTGTTGTTGTTGTTGTTGTTGGCCATATTTTTGTTGTTGCTCTTGTTGCCGTCCTTACCGCCTCCAGATTTAGATTGCCCCGACTTTCCGGAGTTTGCTTGCTTGTCCTTATTCTTGCTTCCGCCACCCTCCTTTTGCTTTCCTTGCATATTCTTGTTTGAACCCTGATTCTTCTTACCAGCCGCCGCCGCATCCCCATTGCCGCTTCCTTTCCTAGCCTCCGTCTGCTCCGGTTCAGCTGATGACGTGGTCGTCGACTCTGAAACACTGGGCAAAGGCTTCAACTCTGCCGCCGACTCTTCTTCGCCTTGAACTCCGGGAAGCGGTAACAGTCCCTCCTTTTGGCCATCTTTATTCACATCCTCCGTGGGCTTGGGCGCCTGTTCGTTCACGCCCGTCACCATCGCGTCAACTACCTGCGTCCCCGACATGTGTAGCTTGATTGGTTCAGTAGGCAACGGCAACAGCATCTGGCTCGTACTCGTCACCCTCTGCGTCGCCACCACTCCCTCGCTATCCGTGGCCACTACATCCGTGGCAATAGGAATGAGACGCGTCACAATAGCAGGCTGCTGTACGAGGGACAGTATGGTGAACTCCTCTGATACGACAACGCGGGCTTTGGAGTCGACGATGACCATGTTGAAGCTGGGGAAAGCGGCAATGGAAAGATCAGGTGTCCATTGTAACAGCCCATTGTTTTGAATGCCAACTGTATTGCCATTAGTTGAGATCATCTCAAAGGGTTCGGCGGACAAACCAGCCACCTGCTGTGCAATGACAGTCCGTCCTGCTACACCCGCCGGCACCAGGTTAATCGCGATCGGTGCCTCCAGCCCAGCCGTATTCCATGTGATATCAATCTGCTTGTCGAGCTCTAGAGCCGATTCCTTTGACGGCGACGAAAACTGTGCCGTGACACAACCTGCCAGAACAGGTAGAAAGATGGACCGCATTGTGAGTATCGGTAAGGACTGGGAGAGCAAGGTAATCAACGTGAACTTCTACAGAGTAGGGAAATGGAAGGAAGAGATGTCGACGGCGATACCAAGGTTTTTGTCTAGGCAACCCCCCCAGAAAAATACCGCGACTACAAACCGTCCCCGAGACCCCGTGGTGAGGAAACGCCCATATCCGAAGTTTGATCAGCGACACGTCCAGTTTGGAGCGACGCCAACACGACCATGAAGTTGATGCACCCGCACGACTGCCATGCTTGGCCTGCAGGTAGCGGAGCACACTTAAAGTTGATGATGAAACGGGAATCTGAGCCAGAGACTAGCATTAAGAAGCTGATACAGGGGCAACCAAAGTGAGAAGATAAAGTGAAACTGCGCGGCGGGAGATAGATTAGACGAAAAGCGCCGCTTGGCACGCAACGCGGGGAAATGACCCATCACGCATTGCATTCGAGGAATTTTCCGAGTGCCGACGCTTTTCTCGCCAAGGAAATGCAGTTGTGTCACCTCAAGCTCAGCATCATCTAAGATGACCTCTGTGGCTGAGAATCTGCAACAGATGGGACGATCAAACAGCTTCAGCAAGAGCCGTTCAGACGACCACGGGGCAGTGCTCCATGACCAGGGCAAAAGGTCGTTCTTGGCGACAGTTTCATCCAGTATCTCACGGCGTCATAATCTGTTCCTTCTTTTCAAGCCGGGCTAAAAATTCACACCGTCGTACAGCCGGGTCAAATGCAACGAACATGCTAATCCCATTTACACCTAAACCCGGTCTACCTAGCAAACAAGATATTAAACAAAAACAGAGAGAAAGGGGAACCAAAAAAAAAAAAGTACATACACCGTCCTATTACCAGGTCTGCGGCAACAGACATCACGCCATTCTCCGTTTTATGATTCTTTCAAGAATCTCCCAGCATCGAGCCATTCATCCTTCTGAGACCGTACGCCTACAGGTCCTGATTATGAGCATCGCCCGGTGTGCCTGAGGCGTCTACGTGAAAGGCGTCGCCAAATGCAGAGTCATCCATGTCCATCTGCAAGTCTAAATCCTCACCAAGCCCCCCGGCCGAGCCATCCAGATCAGGGGCATCGTAGCCCGCCATAGCATCGCCTGCGGTGTCCAGGTCACCTAGTGAGCTGAAGTCGTTTTGGTCGAACGAGGCGGAACCACCATCCGTAACTGCCGGGGTGGCGGCTGCGGATATAGGCTTCGTAGGAACTGGCGCCGGCTTTTGTTGCGCAGCCAGTCCGGTGCTCGCTTCGACTGTAACGGTTGGAGCCGCGACGGGCACAGCAGCAGTAGTAGTAGCAGTCACGGCAGCAGCAGCACTCGAGATCGCAGATGGCGGGCCATTGGCATCTGGAGAGGCACCGCCCTTTGGCACCACAACCCAATCACCACTGTCAGTTCCCTGATCTGCCGCCGAG